AACTTCGTAGAAAATGTCAATGTTCTGCAGAAGTTTTTCAGGAATAAGACGAATAGTCAGTGAATCTTGACCGATTTTGATCCCACACGAAGGCTTCGACCAGCATCCTCGAAAGCTTGACTAAATCGAAAAACCCCGATGCTTTTCACATTAATGAATAAATAAGGTCCATAAATGGAAATTTCTTTGCAACAGACGGGGCCAGGGATGTCATTCGGGAATCGCTCGGAGAGCTCGTTTTCAAACTTTGTAGAAAATGTCAATGTTATGCAGAAGTTTTTCAGGAATAAGACAGTGAATCTTGACCGATTTTGATCCCACACGAAAGCTTCGACCAGCATCCTCGAAAGCTGAACTAAATTAAAAAATGTTTTCCGCATCAATGAAAGATAAAGTTCACAAATGGAAATTCCTTTTGAAACCGACGGGTAAGAGGTTCAATTCGGGAATCGCTCTGAGAGATGGTTTTCAAATTTTGTTACAAATTTCGATTTCCTTCCTGCCGATGTTTTTCAGGAATGAGAGGTAGATAGTGAATTACACCTGCGGCGCTGTTTTGCCCAAAGAAAGCTTTTTCTCATAGCTTTTTTATTAATGCCCATGATTACCTTCCCATGCGCTCTCAAATTCCTATGTATTTTTCCTTCCACCGCAACATTTTTATGCCATCGATGCCCTGCAATTACTTTGCCTTTCAAGAATAAAAAAATTTGTACAGTACTTCCCAGCTCCAGAACTTTCAACACTTAAGCTCCGATGATTTGTAAATTTTTTGGATCTTGTCTCCTTAACGTAATATTGACTGGATCAGCAGCCTTTGTCTTTTATTAAAAGGAAAAACGGGATAAGTGATGTTCGTATTTTACAGGGAAACCGGAGGATGCTTGTTTTTTTTTTTAGCTGCTTTGACACATATGTTAAAAGGAACGAACAGTTCGTATGTTCAATTCAATTGCGATCTACGTGAAATCGCGTTGAATTTCTCCATCGGACAGTCAGCATTAATTCGAATTTTGATGTCACTATAGTTCCCTCACTTCATAAGACCCACTCAATACATGAAAAATAAAATCATCCCCTTAAAAACATGAGGCGCCACCGTTTCATTTGAAACCCGGTGATTTTTTGTGGTTTTGGAAATGAAGCCAAGCCTCCTCCGAAAAAAATTTCATGTTTACCAAATTTTTCTCCGAAGCTATGAAAACGCTCCATTCTGTTTCTGACATTTGAAGCGCAGCGAACTTCAAGTACCGAGGAACACATAAAGTATAAAAAAAACGTCCCTAAAATATTCTATTGAGGTCTATTGGGTGCTTGGGCTACTGCAATTTCTATTATATCCCAGAGTACGATAAGGCTAAAGTGGTTCACTTGAGACAACAAAAAGCTTTACTAGAGGACTATCGTATGAAGGATAGTTCGAGTCACAAAAAAAATCTAGAACCCCGTTCGGGATGAATATACAGTATCAAAAACAAAGTTATAAGTTTGAATCAGCTGAATCCGCATATTTTAACTCACAGTAGGTCGCTTCGACGTTATCTGGATTATTATTTTTTGACTGAGGTACAGAATTGAGCTGCTTCTCTCTTCTTATTCTTCAAAGATAAATCAAAATAAAAAACTACGCACGAAGCGGGAAGCATCAAAGTAACCGAGGTTCATTCATCCGAGATGCCAGTATTCCGATATTTTCGTGGGGAGTTCTGCATTGAAATTTCTCTGGAGACCTCCTTTCTGATACAAATTCTGTGCGGTTCAAGGAAAACGAATTCCACTGAATACAAATACATGTACAGTATCTGTACTTTTTTTTTATCCTGTTCCTCCAACAATGAGACCAAATCATTTCGTTGTTATACTTCTCGTAGACTCTCACCTGAATATTATCCCTTCGCCACGATTAGGTTTATTTAAACGTAAAACGTTTTTAACCTTCGACCATCAAGTTAATTCCCTCGTGACCTCCACTTAGATTTGTACATTGTGCGTATCTTTCATCCAAATCCTACAACTCGTATTTACACTGTCTAGCTTTCGATGTGAAGCTGTCTGAACCTTTCACATTTCGCCAAACAATACGAGCACTCGTATAGTTATATTATACCCAATAGTTCTACAGTATTTGAATCCCTGCGTTCTGATCTTTTTTTCCAATTTTTGAGAAAAATCAATCACCAACTGGAGTTCCTCAGGAAAACAGAGTACTAACGTGTGTTAAGATCATGACACTTACGGATGATCTAGCTTTTCAAAACTTGGAAGCATTATTTCCCCAGCTGAACGAACAGAGCTTACCTTGAACGCCATGATCTCAACGCTCTAAAATGCGGATTCTCTGTCATGCTTTTATGCAATGAAGCAAACTTGCACGTCGCCAGGGGTTCGGTCAACACTGTATTCCGAAAAAACATGTCTCGGGTGTCCCGGGTTTCTCATTGATTGACCCGCGACTTCTCAACCGTACGGTCGAGTCCCGGTTTTTCGCACTGGTCGCAATCGATCTTCATTTTGCCCAGACCCATCGGTTTGCAGTTGTCAAGCGCGTGGCATTCTTTACTGTAGCCCCAGAAAAAAAGCTGGCACAGGTGCTGTCGCAAATTCCGCGGAACAGAGTTTCTCTACCTGTCTGATTCACTGAGCCCTTTGTAAATACCGTATGTGCATTACATAGACGCTGAATTAAAAAAAAATATATATATGGTAGAGCATCTTTGGTCTATATTGTCCTAAAATTGTATGGCCCTTGAAATGACAACTTTTTATTGAGTGAATTGTAAATATCCAGTTATTGTCTTTTACTCTATTATTATGCGTCTCAATATTTAATGTGCAATAACTGTACATGAATTCAATTCTTAATTTACTTTATTCTCTTGATGAAGCGGCAGCGGATCCCCGTGGGAAGTCCCGGGAACTCCAAGAACTCCATGAAGCACAGGTTGAGAAATTAAATCCTAATAAATGCATATTGTTCCTGTCATATAGAGATCAGGCCGTGTGTGAGGCACTTGTCAGAAGCGGGATCATTAGAGGGAGCTCCAAGTTCCCGACATATATTCCGTATCCATCATTCCATATCACAAATGTTCAATCATTTTACTTCCGGCTTCAACGAGGGGATCTTAATCTTCTGGCTATTGCAACTCCAGGTTGCAGCTGAATCCTTTTGAGATAAGATGCAGCGTTGCCCAAAAATGACGAACTCACAGACACAAATCCACCATAGGCCGGGATGTCGCAAATAAATGAAAATGTTTATTTCGGTCGAGTGTCCAATTTGTCCAAAGTAACACTAATTTCACTAAGTATATATTTTCACTTTCGAAGAGATGCTCTGAAAATGTTGATAGTTTTGAAGAAATCTGCGCTGGAACAAACTTTTCATAAATTCTTTATCTTATGCGAGTCAAATGTTCTGTATCCCATTCGACTGTTCCATTGAACAGCCATTTCGGATAAAATGTGAGCCCTTAGTTCCTCTTTCAATGCCTGAAAATCAAATTGAAGGACTTCGCGACGACATTACGTTAAAATCCATTCTAAGGCATCGCTTCCGTGGATTTTTGCAAATGAAAAAATCAACCAAACCCTTTCAAATCGAGTACTTCATATTTGTTCATAGATGGCTTCACCATTTATGAGAAATTTTGATTTTGTGGACACAAATTCAAAAATATTAAGTAATTCAAAAATAATAAAAATACTGCAATCGCAATATACGGTATATGTATAAGTGGTATCCGTCGAATTTGCAGAATGTTTGCTGCACTCAGGGGCAGATGCAATTTGCACAGCTATGCTTGCGTGAAGACTTCGAAAACGATTAGCATTTTCTGAAGCATCCTGAGTTAATGCGTGCGCAAGGTACAGCATCTGCTGCTGAAAGCAGCGTTGTTGACCGGATTTCCAGAATAATCCTAGCCAAAAAGCATCATTGAATTATTGCTTCTTAATTTGTTTCCACAGCTTTGGACAGTGTCTTCACGGAAATAAATTCAGTTCCACGAGTTCGAATCCATTTGGCACTATAGGAGGTATTTTTCGAAGTAGACCGGTAAAAGGAACAATGCCTGAGAGGGAGACATAAATTCTCTCTACTTCGCGTTTGAGTTGCAGTACAAGGGTATTCGATGAGTCGCACGGCTTAAAGGCATTTCCATCCGGCTTTATTACAGCCGAATCGTTACGTGGAAGGCAAATAGCACGAGGCGGGCTTTGAACTCGGCCTCGTTGTCCATTCGCACCGGATAGCGTGACTGCTCGAAATGGAATGCGTAATTTCATGTCACCCCGTTGAAGTGGTCCGTTTACCTCCCAATTTCATGTGCTCTTATTCCTGACTATCGTCCGTATTTACCTTCGCTAAATTGACAAAACCGCCGCTCCCGTACAACACCTGCGCTGACTTCAGGGGCTCGGAAGTACTTCCCGGAAGGCGCTGTTGCTAACAGCAGCCGGTTAAGACGAGGGCATCTACACGAGCCCTCGGAAAATGGGCTTACATGCACGAATAACGATCGCGCGAAAGCCGAGTGTTCGTGGAACGTGTTCGCAGTGTCTGCTGAAAGATTTCAACGCGCGAGCACACAGCAGAGCAGCCGTGTGTGTGTCTCTCTCTCTCTGTTTTTGTTCCTTATAACAGCGTGCATGCGGCGGAAATCGCAGGGCAGACCGTAACTAAAGCGTTCCCCGGTTGTCTTTATATTTCTCAGAGTGATGGTTGGAGCGGTGGGATCGAGCCAGACTCGGAGTCTACAGACGAGCCTAGAAAACGCAGTCGGGCTGAAATCGCATGAAGTGTTGGCGACCACCGGAGTGGTCCCCGCCGAAGCAGCCGCAACGTCACCAGGAAGCACTGCGGCTGGAAACCTCGGCCTCGTGTCCCCGACCAAAGACGCCAGCTAGGGTCGCCCCGGTCCTCGTAAACCCGTTGCTATCCACCTGGCACTTGTCATTGTTTGGTTGGACGGCGTGACAGCAGCCCTGCCAAACCTAGAATGTCGGAAGGCTCTGAAACTCCAAGCGAAGAGGAGCGCAGTGCTTTCCGGCCACTCACGCGGGAGTCTCTGGCTACAATCGAAGCTCGCATCGAAGAGGAGAATGCCAAGAAGAAAGAGCTGCAGCACAAGAAGGAGAAGGAAGGGGTGAGTGTGTGCCACCGATTTTCCACATGCTGCACTACGCAATTTGCTCGAGTGTTCCCGTATGATTCGATTAAACACGAAATCGAAAGGGGGTAAACGTGCTTCGAATCAAAGACGGCGTCATTCATCCACCCTGGGATTTTGTTGCAACTCACTCGGAATCGATAAATCATGAGAGCGAGTTTTGTTCTAGCGCTGTCGAAAATCCCGCTGAGAGAAAACCCCGCAGGTTTGCCGTGAGGCAGACATTCTAAAGATGCAATATTCTGTAATAAATGTGCATTCGAATCTTTTCAGATTTGCGAAAAAGAGACTGTCCAATATTTCTTTCAAAATTTTCGGGAGCACCTCATTGGAAATTCTTGCTTCTTTCTCATTTCCGCTTAACTGCAGAATTTCCGGTTTCACTGAAAAACAGGATGCGAAATAATAAAGAAAATATTATTTCGGATCATGTTTTTGCCTACTTTAAAATAATAAAATGGTCGATTTCGTAATATGAAACATCTTTTTCATTTTTTTCATTTTTTAAATGTTTTGAAGCTTCTTTTTCTCTCGTTTTGGGCTTGCGATAATTCTGTATCGCCGGGATTTTCTCTCCACGGAAAATTTTCCGTGAGCTGCATAAAGAATGTTCTCAATATCCCCCTGCTTCCAATGTTTCGTTTCATTCATTTATCCTTCTGTTATTCTGGAGGAGATTCTTTAAATTTTTTGGCGAATTGATTATCTATGAAGCGTTAATTTCAATGTTACCACCAAAGAAAATTCTTTTTGTAACTCTTTTGGGCATTAAAAAATTATAATTAAACAATGTATCCCAGTTTCAAGAAACTGGTGCGTCGAAGGAAATATGAATTCCTTCTTAGAAGAATGTAATCTTTGAAGCCAATGGGAAGGAGGTGTCATGCCCTTGAACGAGTAGAGAAATGTGAAAAAGTAGAACGTAACGGAGAATGATCCCCGAGCCCAGAAGAACCTCATAAACTTTCCAATCCCTCTGCGGAACTGGGCTGCTCGAAGTGGCCCCGGGCTCTCAAGTCCGGAAGTTCCCGACGATGAGTTCTCAAGAAACCGTCCAGAACAGAGGCATGTCATAGCATATAACGCTTCGTCGCTGACTATTCCTTCTCCTTGGCGATGAATGCCATCAGCAGCGACGACCTTGTGCCTGTCAAAGCTGCTTGGTCCCGGTGTTGTCTAGCTTCATCCCCAGACCGGGGATTCTTCCGTTCACACGAGAAATGCCTGCTGCTCGCGTCTTCAAAGAACCTGAGCTTTTGTTCCCGGAGAAGGAAACCCTGTCAGGAAGTCCCCTTCAATTGTGTTGAAAAGTCAGGGGACCAGATAACCGTTTCCCCACCCTCCCTTTCCGTTCGGGACGTTGAATGCCGGCCTCGCTCACCTCAGCTTCAAAAGCAACCTTGCTTGTGCCCTCCGCATCGGTGTTCGTCCTCGTTTGCAAGGCTTGATCTCATATCTGTTCGCTTACGACGATTGCTGTGACTTAAACCGTTCGCTTCTCTGCTTCCCCGTGTGTTGCATCGCTGCACGATTGTTTTCAGGTGGGCGGCACTGGAAAGCGTGGCAGAACTCAACCAGACGTAAGATAAACTCTATGATGCGATTTTCGGAATTTCTCACTGTAATCCATGTGCTCATGCGCTTGCTAACGTCACTCGAATGGTTCCAAACTTTTTTTTGTGCTCTTCATTTTCCTCATTAGCTTTCCCTCAGTTCAGTTTGTTCGAGAACATGGAGTATAATAATTTGTCTGCGCACAGGAGCCTGTGAAGTTTCGTTCAAGACTGTAACAATGGTAATTTTATCTTGCCCTCTCGTTTCACTTTCACACAGAGGTGCGAATGAATAGCCAGAAAAAACTGCACGATCTGACTGAGGACAATGCTTATAGCAATGTGTCGAGAATTTATTTTCCGAACTCTTGCAATGCTAAATTGTTTTGTTCGGAAAAGGAAACACATTATTCTCATTTTCGAAACACAAGTACTGTACTGTGCATCACAGAAGAATCGAGCCGGAGTATTTTCGGCGGTTTCCACTGAAAACAGCTAAAAGTTTCCGCAGAGTCGATCTCGGGTGGAAGACGATTTATGAAAGCTTTTGTGAGTGTTTTGAAAAAGTTTTCGGCATCTCAACGTAATGTATTCGTAGCTATTGTTTTGAAACAGAACCAAACTTTTTCTGTACTGTTTCTCCAACTTTTTTCGCTTACCTGTGGAAGCGTTTTGAGGCAAACTGGTAGGAACTTTGAAGTATTCTTTCCCATTTATTCCGGCGTTACATTGATTCAATTTTTGGATTTGAATACTGTACCTACGCTTACACAACTTCAATTTTTTGACGAATATACAGTATTGTCTTTTTCAGCAAAGTATTACGTAAGTGCAGTGACCTCGACAGTCCATATTGATTGACAGGTTTAGATGGTCATCTTCGTGTACAGTATTTTGCTGTTCTTGCATTAGTCGGAATCAGATTTTTTCCAATATTTCCAGTTTCTCGACTATAGTACAAATTACAAGTAACAGTTATGTGCGCATTTGTCGAATTTTCATACTTCGAGCAGGTCTATTTTATTAACATTGCATGTGTGTTTACAATGCGTGCTTGAAACATGTTGCATGCTGAAAGTTGTTCAGGGCAGTTATCGTGCCTGCAGAGGTCGTTTGCATGGACAGGCCACCCGTGCATGCTGCTTTTTAGTCGTACTACCTGTACGCAGTTCTATTTTTGGTCGATGTGATACGCGGTAGTTTAACATACCGATTGCTTTGAACACGACTTATAGCGGAAAAGCTGATTTGTGGTCGAAAAGCACTGGTTCGTTGAACTGGCACACCTCATGTCTACAGCAGTTTTTCCTTGTGTGAATATGAAAATAATCGACCACGATCTAGCCGACCACGTTAAAGCAGCACTGAAAAATGAATGCGACGATGGGCTTCCGAAGTCTTCTTTTTTTTTTCTCTAGGGCACCGGGAGAGACGAAAAGCTATGAGTAGGGATTAATACAGTTGCTTAAACTAGTCTTAGTCAGAGACGCACTTCCATCATTGGCAAGCAAGGACAGGAGATTCCGCTTAGCCGTTTTCTTAGGCTTTGATTCTCCGATTCGTCTTCCTTTCATTCTCTCGCTCCGCTTCCGCAGCGGACTCCGAATCCGAGTCTGATTTCGAAATGACTTTCAAGCAGGTGCGATACGAAGAAGAGGATGAAGACGACGGCCCTCAACCAGACAGCGCCCTAGAAGCCGGGATGCCTTTACCGTTACGCTTAGCAGCTGAGTTCGCCTCGGACCTGGTGGCGACGCCGCTGGAAGACATCGATCCCTACTATGCAAACCAACGGGTGAGGGTTTCATTCCGGACTCGGGTTCGATTGATTTGCAGCCTTCTTTGCGGAGCTTCGGCGCAAGAATCGCGTGCTGAATTATTCGGGTCGGTCGTCGGTAAGCGGTCCCGTCCACGCTGCCTGGGCCCGATGGCTGGCTCCCTCGCCACCACCGCAGGGTCACGTATTGAACCCCCGCGATGGGCAGGCAATACAACCTAGTACGTCAATGGTCTCTATGGAAACCCACTTCCAAAACACGGCGCTCGTTTTGCGGATTCGGACTCCGCGATGCGCCGTCGAGACACCGCTGAATGCGGATTTTCTGGAAGGCGCGAGGAAGCTCGGCAAATGCGTCAGCTGGTCTTTGCCTCGTTCAACGATTACAAATTCATTCCTCGGCATTGATCTCGAATGACGCAAACGTTCCGGATTCTTGACCTCGCGGGAAACCAAATAAGAACTTTTATTATCAGGGATGAAACTCGAATGTCTTAGCCCGATTAATAAAATATCACAGATCATCGGGTTTATAATTTTGCATTTAAAGCATATACATGTTCCGTCAGAAAGACCTGAGATAATACTGTTGACATTCACGGGAAGCTTGAAGGGAATTCTCCCTCCGGAATAGAGAGCCGGAGATGGAAATTTGGTAGCTCGAAATAAATTAATTACGTACTCCAGCTATGGATAAGTCGACGATTATACAACAGAAGGTTGAACTCGATTAAGAAATTCAGCGAAGAAACAGAATTCAAATTAGTTCGAAAGTAAAGGTTTCAAATGTACAGTAGATTCGAAACTGCTGTATATTGTTCGAGCCTCTGGGCCAGACTCATTACTGATTTTTTGAAAGCTATTCACAGATTCGAAAACACGTCACGCGTCTGTTTGAAGAGGCATTTTCAAACTACTGTATTATAAAGTACTACACGAGTTATCCACTTGTAATACGGGGAAGGGGAGTAATGAAATCCGAATCAATCTTTAGGTAATCACAAGAAAAAGTTTCCAGAAAAATCATTTAAATATCGAGCAAAATAACGCAGCAGCTGATGGTAGTCGATTGCTCAATGCAAAAAGCATGACAACGCAACAGCTAGCTGTCACATTTTAGTCGGCATAGTTTTCAATTATTTACGCGGATAACAAATTATTCCGAGAGAAGCTGGAGTTCAATCAACGTTTTGGTCATCGAGTTCCAGCAATTCCTATACCCATGCGCATTTGCCCAGCTAATAGAAGAATTTCAGGATAATAGCTGGGAATAAAACTTTTTTGCGGGAGTTAAAAAAAAATCGAGAAAGACCTAATATTTCCTACACTTGCTGTGCATGAACCTGGGTATAATCGAAGAAAAATAAAGCCGCTGGAACGCAATGCTACTTTGAGATATACTGCTGTACTCGCTCGATTCCATTTTGAATTTGAATTCAGTCGTATTTATTATGTTGATGCTCTTTTCCGAGAGGACGAAAAATCAAAAAATCAGCCGTGTTCAGCTGAAAACTGAAATTCCTGGCTGCTCTCAATTTCAAGAGAACGACGCAACACAAACGTGCCTTGCCTAGCCCAGTAAACATTTCTCAGAAATCATAACTCAAAATGTCGTGCATTGAAATTTGGCGAAGGTTTCTTAAGCTTATACGTCAGCATTCGTCCATCGAAGCCCACCGTTTCAGTCAATCCACGAAGCAGCATGCAGGTTACGTCTTTTCTGTTCATCTGACGATCAAAGCTGCCATGGAAAGGTCAGAAGACCAGACGACTTTTCAACGATGGAAGTCGCGGGACAGGGTCATTTATAATTCATCGTCGATGAATCGAACGCCAAATGCGCGAAGTTTCTCGAATTTTGAGCCCAAATAATTCCATTCGAAATGCCGTTCTTTCCAGACGTTCGTGGTCATCAGCAAGGGCAAGGATATTTTCAGGTTCAGTGCAACGAACGCGATGTGGTTCCTGACGCCGTTCAATCCAATCCGAAGGACGGCAATTTACGTCCTAGTCCATCCCCTTTTTTCTGTCTTCATCATCGCCACTATTCTCTGTAACTGCATCCTCATGATCCAGACGCCGCCTTCTCCACAGATCGAATCGACAGAGTAAGTTGTTTCACGACACTGTTGCGTATGGGTTGTTGCAATCGGATGAGAGCTGTCAGAGGTCGAGTTACTGAGTGTTTTTTTGCAAATAGAAACCAGGCTAGCGGTCGTAGAAACCGACGTAATAAACTTGGAGCAGTAAGACGAGTGATCTGACGGTACCGTATTCCCAATAGCCCATCCTGTTTGGTGGGTCAGTCGGACCCAAATTTAAAACTGAAATTCGGTCAGGATAGGGGGTGTCCAACCAGCAGTACTAAGAAATCAATCATTGGTCCTAAACCATGACGCCTATGTGAATGGTTTGGCTCAAAAGTGTAATAGCCACCACTGAATTTGAATTCCTTCACATGAAAGAATTCTTTGGAACGGCCATTTCTAGAGATTTAAAAGAAAAGCTAGAAATATACCTCACTATGACCTGAAATATCGAAGATCAGCGGGATACATTAAAATCACCAAAACAGACAACGTTCAATAACAGACAGAAAAAATTATCTTTTCTAGAATTTTGATAGAAAAGTGTGTCACGTGGAAATTGGTATTTAACATTATGCATACCTTTCTGTGGGCATGATTCATCCTCCGATCGATGGAAGCACGGATAACCCAGGTTCTACTGCAGTTATGAAACTTGAAAGTATTTCCTAGTACAGTACAGTACTTCATATACCTGATGATCCTGGGCATTTGCCAAATAATACAGTGCTAGGAAATTTATGGATTATATATAAACTATACACCGCTCAATAAAAAAGTTAAAGATAAATCATCGACGCACTCGTGGAAAACTACTTCGTTCCAAATTGGTTCAAGTGAAGGACTCAACAGATGAAACAAATTCAGACCTAATTGTTCGCTTGCATAAACGCACGTACGAAACAGAAACGCGATTAGAGTTTCGGGATAATTTTACCAGCTCTTTTTTGACGCATTCATTTACGAATTAACTGAATAACCGGTGGAATTCCAAATGAATGACACGATGAAAGATCTCCGCTCTTCAGAATTTACGTGACGGAAAAAGTTGGGCACCCCCATGGATTAGGAGATAATTGATTCCTCATGACTTTGCCTGGTGTTGCGGAAGGGGTTTAAACGAAGGTATTCCTCATGGATGGTGAAATATCTTGGATCCTTGGTCCGCGCCCGAATTTAGACCTAGAGTTATCTCGTGTGAATATCAGTGGTAATGCTTTGGAAATACTTGCAAACCTGAGCTCCTTTGTGGCTAGAGCCGGTTAGGGTGTCGTAGAAGCGTTGTATGGACGCAAATCGTCGTATTCCTGGGTGTTCGTGGCGGCCCCACGTGCTAATAAAGTACTGATCTCTTCTTGTCTTTTTCAGAGTTATCTTTACATCCATCTATACATTTGAGTCCGTCATCAAGGTTGCCGCTAGAGGTTTTATACTAGAGAAATTCACATATCTTAGAGACGCCTGGAATTGGTTGGATTTCATAGTCATAGCACTAGCGTAAGTAGAGTTTTTTGTAGCCCTCTTATTGATACTTTTCCTCGGCAGAAAACAAAAGCTGGTTGTTTCATGGAATTCGCTCCGGCGTGCATGAAACGATCAGCTGCACTCACGACTCATGCGACCACTCAATCTGTCCTCGTGAAACTTTGTTTCGAGAGAAGAGCGCAGTGATGTGAGAAAACGTAGTCAGCTGTTTTGGAATCTTAGCGTATCCTGGAGTCCTTGGCAGTTCGTGAAAAGTCAGACAGATGATGTATGTCGTACCAACGCTGGAGATCCCTACCTAGCTTCTCTGACAGACTCCGTCAGTTTAGAGTATTAGACGCAGATCTGTAGCAAATTCCTTGTTTGTGTGCGTTACCGTAATACGAGTAGTTGGCTCATGTCCAGGGCTCATGGAAAATGCTGCTATGAATGAGATTTTTTTTGCGGGAACCCACCGTTGCCGGGGCTCCTGCCCAATTCAGTGGGTCTCCCGACACGTACGTTGCTGAATGTGACTTAAGCGTACGGTGCTCCGAGACTTTTGTTGATCTGGCTTGCATCACGTACGTAATTCCAAGTCCTGCTTTAGAAGCCCGTCGAAGAATAAATAAGCATAACGTTGCTGAGATCGTTTTCATGGCCAATTACTGACCAGAGTTGCGCTGCTCGGGGCGCCTTAAGCACTCTTGCTTGCCTTTCATTATTGCTCGTCGTCCTTTTTTCAGCCGGGCTTCAGTGCCTACGAGAGCTCAATTTTTGCCCTTGTTTCCTTTGTGCTGCCCCATGACGATTGGCCTGCAGGTACGTGACAATAGGGGTAGATCTCGGGAACTTGGCGGCCTTGAGAACCTTTCGCGTTTTGCGAGCCTTGAAAACTGTTGCTATCGTCCCAGGTCAGTCGACTCTCGTTGACCCATCGTCCCAGCACTTGTTGACACGTCCGTCTTTCTGCTTTTTCCCCCCTCAGGTTTAAAAACCATCGTGGGCGCCGTGATAGAATCCGTGAAGAATCTCAAGGATGTGATCATGTTGACGATGTTCTTTCTCTCAGTGTTTGCCTTAGTCGGGTTGCAAATGTATATGGGTGTTCTGACGCAGAAATGCATCCTCAACCTACCGGAGGGGTTCAATGCCACAGATGATCAATGGTTCCGCCATTGTAGTAACGAAAGTGAGATCCTTATCCGTAATTCAAAACTTAAGATCGAGGGCTCGTTCAAACGTTTTGTTCGACTGTTGCTTCCCGTGCTGGAGGGTTGTCAGATGGACATACCGTAATTTGGATCTCTATACTTGACCTTTCCAGACAGCAGTACAAATCCCGGTTCACCCAGGTTGACATGGAATAAAAACCAGAAATTTAAAGACCAGGCCATCACTGAGATTAATTTAGGTTCATGAGTTACCCGTGCATGTTCTTAACTTTCAGACATCAGTTTCAGCTCCTCGAAATATGAAACTGATTGGAAAATCTTGCTGGTGATAATGTGCTGGGTCTAAAATAACATGTTATAGTAAACAAATCGTAGTCTTTCTTGGCGTTCTGTATGTTCGCGATGCTGACAGGGAATTTCGCTCCAAAGTGTCAATCGGTAAGAACGAATTTCCTCAAGTCAAGTCTGACATAGAAAAATCGCCACAAATGAACAAGAATGCATCAAGTCTTTTTACTGATCCCTCGAAAGCTTAAAAGTTACTGTCTCAAAAAGTTGGGAGCAAGAGGAATTCCTCTTAAAGGAACAGATGTACAGCTCTTAAAGGTACATTTCCTCTTTAAAGTAGAAGTATCTTTAAATTGAAGATATTGTACTTTTCTTGCCGAAACGTTTGAACCATCCTTGAAATTTCTCAGTTGATGAATTCTCCTGGAAAAGATTATTCGCTCTGAGCATTGCGTAGAATTGTATTATCAAATTTTTTTTTCACTCCTTGCAGCAAACTGGTACATCGACCCAGAAACACAAAAATACCCGGTTTGCGGGAACAGCAGCGGTGCGGGGTAAGCCTAGAAATATCATTTTCGTCTCCTCGCAGTAAGGTTTAATTTTATGTCGATCTCTACCACAACAAAAATCCAGGCCATGTCCAGAAAATTACACGTGCCTGCAGGGGTTCGGCAAAAATCCCGACTACGGGTTCACTTCTTTCGACTCGTTTGGTTGGGCCTTGCTTTCAGCGTTCCGCTTGATGACGCAGGATTACTGGGAAGGCTTGTATCAGTTGGTAAGGCTTTGCGTTGATTTGGGAAATATACTCTATAGATGTGCTCATTGATGGATTACTCGACTCTAACCCCTCGTTCCCGTTCCGGACACAAGATACTGAGGTCAGCTGGCCCGTGGCACATGCTGTTCTTCATCGTGATAATTTTCCTCGGGTCCTACTATCTGGTCAACTTGATCTTGGCCATTGTTGCGATGTCCTATGACGAATTGCAGAAGAAGGCTGAGCAAGAGGAGGAGGCTCAAGCAGCAGCCGAGGTGGCACTCAGGGTGAGACCACTTGTCTGTTTCCTCTCGAAATTCGAGACTCCTTCCTGACTTCGGGCGTTTCTTCATTTCATTTCGCCGCTGCCGAGTGTAGGAAGAAGAAGCAATTGCTGCGGGCGTCCGGTGTGCCCCAGATGACGGGTCGTCGTCAGAGGGTCCTGGTCTGCTGAAAAGTCCGTCGGGATTTTCCTACCACTCCGACGACGTTTACGTAGAGCAAAGTAAACCCGGGGAAGACAACAAGGACATGAGTATCCGGTCCAACGAAGAGCTCGACTCGGTTTCCGAGCATCGGCATCGAGTGAACGGAAAAATACGGAAGGTTCGTTTCCTCCAATTTGTTTCTACTGCTCCCAGTCGTCATAAGATTTAGCGCACAGCTTAGAATAACTTGAACAACGAGAAATTTGTGTTTCGAACCAAATGGACTTAATTTGTGATCCATACCAATCTGCAGAAAAATATTCGTATTCAATTTCCGCGTCCATTTAGCCCCTGTATCAAGTAAAAACAAAAAATTCGAAAACTAAAAAAAATTCCCCTGCTTGGGATTTTCGATGTTGTGTGCTGCATCCGTGAAAGGAAAAATATGCGTTCACCGTGAAACCGGCACCATGCATTAATGTGATGAGTGCAATTGTCGTACGAGGCACTGGAATGTTGAGAAATGCCGACTCCAATTGAAATAAATAATGTCGGTCATGCTGGACAACTGAATCTTCTGGACGAGTTCGTGGAAATTTCCGTACATGTCGTGCACAAGCATATCTTTCACCCGCGTACGAGTATAACAGCACAAAACTCGGAACGATTGCGCAAAAAATTCCGGGGCATAAAAATGTATTCTTTTATCATCATGTGGCCGGTCAAGGAGTACAGTACAGTACTGCAGGAGTCATGGATATTTTTATTGCATCGTATCCTGCGCTCGAAGAAATTTATATTGTACTACTCTCCTGTCAGGTCAAAGAGTACAGGGAGAAAAATTAATCGGAACTGATGATGAATTGAGAAAATCATGAAAGAAAGTGTGTCTCAAAAATCACCATTCTAAAGCTAAAGAGGGAACTGAGATAATACGAGTGTAATCCCTTCGCAACAATAGCAGAGGGACAGGACATATTCTGCAAGCACAAACAATTTTTCTGTCAGATAATTGTTTATAAAGTTCATTGATTGCAGGTCTGCCTAGAGTATAATCACATACAGTATTATTGAATTGAAATTTATAAGAACGGAATCGCTGTTGATTAAGTTCATCGTCAGTATTACTGCTGGGCATCACGTTTTCAATGCAAGCAGACGTCCGTAGTGAAAAATGTCCACTGGGAAACTTACTTTTACTTTGTTGCAATTTTCTCTGGTTCCTGTATTCAATGTCTAATGTGGGAGAATGTCTCAATGTGACTCGGTCTAAAAAAAAAAGAAGATTCGCGCTGAAAAAATTAATCATAGGTTGGATCGTGATCTCTGCCCTGAAAATAGTACAGTAGTAAGAATATCTTTGATCGAATTATAGACATTTTTGCATTAAAACGATTGTGTTTGTCAGAAGCACTCCTAATAATGCACTTCATCTGCGAATATCAATCGCCAAAAAATAGGAGATGAGCGAGCGTCTTTAATTTGAGTAAATACGGAGGTACATTTCCGGACAATGCCGAGCACGCAGTTGAATATGCTGCTAGGAGATGTTTTGATTGTAAATCTCACGTAACGTGTTGATATTCGAGAGAGAGAATCGGAGAAAACATTCTTGGCTGGTTGGGGCGAGACATACGTAGGCGTGGCTCTGTGAGAGACGACGAGAAAGATTCTGAATATGTGGGTTCCAGGCCAGCTCCAGTCTCCCCGGGAGCCCATTCACTTACCGAAGAAACTCGAGAAGCAGTCATCAGCACTGGCGAAACGGGCGCAAGTACGGCGATCGGAAACCGCTGGTATTGTCGTCATACGTGGACGCCCAGGAGCACCTGCCCTACGCAGATGACTCCGCCGCCGCGACGCCCATGTCCGAGGAGAACGGCGCCATCGTAGTGCCGGTCTATCCTAGCCTGGGCTCGCGGCACGGTTCCTACACATCCCATTTGTCCCGTATCTCGTACACTTCTCACGGCGATTTAATCGCCGGCGGTCGGCCGAGTCTGTTGCCAGTTAAGCCTCCCGATGGGTCCCAGTACCCGCGCCACCGCAGCAAACATGCCCAGTCCGTAGTGCCTGAAGTTTTATTGGATACTTCGAAGCCTCATTGTGTGAGTCAACTCTGCTCCTGCATACTTGGTGCCCAAGCCGTTTGCCTTCCCTTAAAAAAAAGGAAGAATAACAACGCTCAAAAGCCCGACTATCTGGACCCGATTTTCGCTCCGGAAGTACTGCCATCTGCTGGCAGAGAAAAAAGCCAGTATCGAGCTCCGTTCTCTTGGCAACGAGCTCTTTCCAAGGCTGATACAAGCATTCGCGTTTCTGCATTGAGGCTTTGCATGCTTAGTTTTAACTCCAGCAGAAAATAACGGACAGTCGTTCTGCTATTTTTTGTTTTTGCTTTTCATTTGGTCTGCGTTGACATAACGCAGACTTTTTTCTCCACTGATGGGCTCTGAGCTAGTGGACGCGCCTTATCAAGTAAGAACAGAACGATAAAAAAAACTCAAGTAGCATTTCTCCCCGAGTATGGTTCATATTAGGAACCATTGTATTCCTAGCCACTGTTTTACCCTTCAGTCGAATGCTGTCTCCGTTTCGAACGACTCATTTAAAAACGATTCATGGGTTCTCTCGCAGGGTCGAAAATTTTTCCCGAGCATACATTGTCAGTGTTTTCAATCTTTCCGATTTATGAGTTCATGGAGCATCATACACGTATTTTGGAATAATTTAAGAAGTACCGTTTTCTGTTTGTGCACGTCTGTGTTATCATTTTAGATACGCCATCCCGAATTTTTTTCCCATTTAAAATTTAAAATTATTTTCCAGCGTTCCAAGATTAATTTTTCGTGCTTTTTTCTGGCGGAACACCACGCTGTTCTCACAATATGAAGTACTGTTTCCGAAATTAACCGGATGTCCGGATGAACTTCGAAACTATAGCCATAGACCCGAAGCCGTGAAATGGAATGTTTTTGAATTCGTAGTACATTGGATTATGTTTAGGAAAATTTATAGTTCCTCTTCATAATTGGGTTTTTGCATGATATCGATTCTAGGCTAGAGATATCCTGACGTCTGGGGTAGAACGAATTTTCCTGGATTGTTTCGATAAATATGTGATCTTGGATTATAGCATGATGACTTACTCTTGTGCGCAAAGAAATCCCTTGACTTGAAATGCAGGTCGAGGATTCTGTTCCGCCTTCCATAAGATGTCCGCGAGTTTTAAAGCTAGTAAAATTCTTGTCACCCGACACTTTTTGCCACCAGGAGACATGGTCTACATATTTGTGTCTTACTGTATTCAACTATCCTCCGTTGACTAGAAATATTATTTTGTCCTGATGAGGAAAAGAGAAAGCTGGTATTTTTTTTTGGCAGGGTACCCAATGAAAGCAAAGCGGTAAATGATATTTATACAATGTATATGGAACATTCAACAATAGAAAAGTATGTAGAGCAGCTCTGACGTTTTAATTTGTAAAAAAATCCTGCAATGGAAACATATTATTCTAGTTCAAAGATATTCGTGTTCATTGTTCAGTTCTGTCTGAAAACGTATGCACTACCTCTTGTGGACCATCTCGAGGCTTAGGACTTCATGGAGGATTTAGTGTCACTAAATTTTTACAGAAGTATGTTGTAACTATACAGGGTGCAGAATTGGTGCGAACTTTGGACGTAGATCCCTCAAGGTTGAGGGAGCTTTTAACCCCAAAACACAGGCCGGACGGGGCTTCCGGCAAAGGCGACTCCGTCATTGGTCATTTCGTGCAGGAAATATTTGGGGAAGACTTGTTCATTGACTACGTAGATGAAGAGGGTGGAGATGAGGGGCGCAAAGTAAGTTCTGTGGAATTATTCTCATTGCTCTCCAGCTACCCGGATCAAATTCGCTTGTATGCTAACGCAAAAGAGCTACACGCCACTTCACGAGCAGTTCAAGGATTATTGTATATTTACCTACTTAGGCGCAATGCAAATCTAAAGGAATCCATTTGCGTATGCGTCGTAAATTTGGATTGTGTGCTTGGGAATGCTCGTTTTCTGTGTTTTTGCACTTTCTGGCATGAAGCGTACCGGCATCTTCACTGCGATTACTCCCTTTTCACGAGTACGTCTATGAGAATTTAAATCTCGATAGAATTTGTTGACCGCATGCTGTAAAAATGATTCAGTGGTGCTGCAGAAGTCCATAAATCCCAGCAATAATGATCTGAACCGATTGAAACTTCCTTAGTTTCGCATGTAAGAGCTCTCCGCTGATTTTCAAACGGCTTGGGCAGATGGCAGGTTTTCGACAGAGAAAAATGCGAGAGCATTTTGAATGCATTGATTTCCGTCTGTGTCCAGGATGGAGATGGAATTGCCAACCGCAAGCCGGTCGTCGTTGACAATCCATTCGTGGAAACAGTTGCCCCCGGGCAGAAACACCACCTTGACATGAAAGGTACTGCGACTGGCTGTTATTTCAACATTTCTTATTTCGCTCGGGTCTTCCGACCCGCGAGCAACCCCAGCGAACGGGCCGGGGGATAATTGCCTTTTCCAGCAGCTAATTCTGCATGTCGAGGCCCCGGCGATGTATTTTCATGCCTTCCTGTATCCCACGTACCTCGATCTTCCTTCGCAGATGTTATGGCACTGAATGACATCATTGATCAAGCCACTGGCCGGCAAAGCCAAGCGAGCAGCAGAGCAGGTAAATATATTCAAAGGAATGAGACGCGCTGCATGCTAGGCACGACTTGCATGGGAAGATAACATCTTGCATTTCTCTTGAATCTTAGATGTCTCTTTTTTCCGTTTTACTTTTTCAGAAATCCCGTATCACCTTGGTTGATATCTCTCCCTCCCCGCGTATTTCCTCTCGTCGGTAATGACTTTTTACTGTCCACCGAACAAATGGCGCATTCATGTCAACTGCGTGGTATCTTAATTGAGGACAGACTGTAGCCCCTCATAGCGATAGCTCCCCGAAACCCTACCCTGTTCTGATTTCTCGAAAGCAACCTTAGTTTGACGTTACTGTTGGTTATATCCGGAGATCCTATCTTAACCCTTACGGACTGAAGCCTTGCTTGATAGGATCTCGGAAACGTTTTCGTTCTTAACGTCATGGTTGTGCAATCGTCCCTGATTCGTAGGTAGCTCTCTTATCGTTATTTCGACGACTGAAATTCATTTGCGAGCTATAAGCTAAGAGAGTCTCTAGAATGGGATTACCAGCTATTCCGCGATTATGAAGAAAGAAGTGCTAACGAAATATATGCCATGCTATGAGCAGAGTTCGAAGCAGCTTCCTCTCCTTGAAGGAGAATCAGCGAAGAGCGCTGATTTCGACGAGGAACCTCGCTTGTAGTTCATTGTGATCGAGATTAACTCGAGTTTCTCTCGCATTGTAGCTTTGGAAGCCGTCAGCGAGGAGCCAAGCGCGGAGGGTTGTTGCAGCAAGTGCTTTTGTGCAATTTCTACCTAAGAGCTTAACGTTAATGGCTTGAAGGCCAGCTGCACCGGTCATGTCACGAAACCGTCTTCCGGAAATACTTTTTCACTCACAGAGTTCTTCACTTTCCTCTACGGCAAAAACGTCGCTTCGCTGTTCTCACTTTTTCCACTAATTTTTTTTTTCAAGCTTATTTTTCCCGTCTCTCATCGTCATTTACTTCATACTGTTTGTTTCCATATTCGTCGGTCCGTTTTGAACGGATTTTTCAAAGATTCACTTTGCTTTTCTTGCTTACTGCTGCTGGGATTTTTATGAGCTGAAATGGCTTTTTCCGGAAGTGCGATTTGGAATGTTGAATGCCGATTGTTCACCTGTCACAATCCTTTGTACGAAAACAAACTTTTCAAAGCGACCACGATGAGTTCACCCACGGAGTGTCCGAAAGTCACTGGTACCTTTATTTTTATTTTAATGTCATATGCAATAATGCAATGCACATCGTGACTCTGCTAAACTTATGAGGGAGCTTCACAAGGGCGTGATTCGTGCACGGCACAAAAGTTTGATGTGATTTAAGCAGGGGAGCAAACCGGCATTCCGGCAAAGTAGGCACGACCGGTGGCACAGCAACGGCCGCCTAAGGACACTGTTGAATTCAATTCCGAGAACTTTCGGTACTACAGCGGATTGCAGTGTCTATTTATTATTTTCCGACAGAAGAGGAAGAAGAGCCTCCTAAATTCAAAGACAGGATGATAGAAATGGCGCAGAGAGGCGCAGAGACTTTCTGCGTCTGGGACTGCTGTGAGCCCTGGGTCAAATTCCAGTCGATTCTCGCTCTTATAGTCTTTGATCCGTTCGTGGAACTGTTCATCACGCTTTGCATAGTCGTTAACACGCTTTTCATGGCGCTCGACCATCACGGAATCAAACCGGACTTCAATGCTGCGCTCAAAAACGGAAATTATGTGAGTCTCGTCAGCCAATCATATCAGCGTTCCGACTCAATCCCGCCTTCATCCTCGCCTCATGTCTACTCCCCTTTTTCTTGCAGTTTTTCACCGCTACGTTCACGATCGAAGCATTCATGAAGCTAATGGCGATGAGTCCAAAGTTCTACTTTCAGCAGGGTTGGAATATCTTCGACTTCATCATCGTTGCTCTGTCACTGGCTGAATTATTTTTGGCCAATGTTTCCGGCTTATCCGTCCTCCGCTCATTCCGTTTGGTAAATTATTACTTTTTATTTATCTAAAACCAGAGAATTGCTGCAAGAACATGTCTCTGTGTAGTTGCGAGTGTTCAAGCTGGCCAAGTCATGGCCCACTCTGAATTTGCTCATTTCCATCATGGGGAAAACTATCGGAGCGTTGGGAAACCTCGTCTTCGTTTTTGGCATCATCATATTCATTTTCGCCGTCATGGGAATGCAGCTCTTCGGCAAAAATTACGAAGGTTGGTGAAGACTGTAGTACAATAGAGCGCGATTCTCGCGGCACTAGACTTAGTAAAATGCCATACAAAATGTTGTCAAGTTTTGAACGAATACTTTGAAACTTGAAATATGAGGTAACACGGAAAAATAATTGCATCATCTGGACAATGTAGAATTGGGAGCGCCCGGAAAATTTTCAGCAGAACATTTTCAAGTCTTTTTAGGAGTTGAAACTCGTAGATTTCGGCTTATAAATCTGAGGAGATAAGTGGCATCCCTAGAACAACGGTTCATTTTTCTATATCTTCTGTTGAGTGGGGAATGACTCACACTGGGATATCCTTGCTGGTAAAGTTGGATATTCCCTCTTTTCTATTCGAAGCGTCAAAAGCCTTTTGCTCTTGAGATTATACCTAATGTCTCCCTCTACTTCTTAGACTGCACTTCCTACTTCGGAAACAAATTTTACGACTGCAGCCGAATTCCGAGGTTCTCCGTGCCATTTTTAGGTTTTTGTTTTGTTTTGTTTTGTTGAGTGTATCATCACCATTCCGAACTTGGAGCGAAAACACATTCTCCCCATGACCTCGCCTCCCAATCCATCTGGTGGAGATGTACACAAAATTTTCTGGTTTAAAATCAAATTTTTACCGAAAAAATATGTTCTTGCACCATTTAACAATTGAAGAACTTCTTCAGGTAGTATGCGATATGCTTCTAAAGGAAAGATTGACTTTTGAAGAAGTTGCACATCGACTAGAAAAGAGAAGGAACTTAGGAATGATTTCGTGAAGATATGACTGGAAGGTCTTCGAGAGTTGGAATTAACGTACCGTATGTTGAGCGTCTTCAATTCGAAGTAAAAGTCGTACATGATAAAAGTTAAAATCTGCATTCTGTATTTTTGATTATGACGTGTCTCGAATGCGTACAGTCAATAGAAAAGGTTAAAAAAATCCGACATTTCATGGCAGCTTGAAATAATTTGTGCTTGAAAAAACAAATTACAGAGAAGAAAGACCTCTTCCCGGATAAAGAGGTGCCAAGGTGGAACTTCACAGACTTCATGCACTCCTTCATGATCGTGTTCCGAGTGCTTTGCGGGGAGTGGATAGAAGCGATGTGGGATTGCTTGCTCGTCGGGGACTGGTCCTGCATCCCGTTCTTCCTGGCAACCGTCGTCATCGGCAATCTCGTTGTACGTGCTCAAATAGGTTATCAAGAGTATTACTTACAGAAATCGAGTTTACCCGATCGGTTTAACGTTCCACTTCTCGTCCCGTGTCCCGAAGAAAGAATCTCCGGATGATTTCCCCGAAATAGCCTCCGCACGTTGCTAAATCCCCTGCGCTGGACAAATGTTTGCGCGTCGTGCGTCTTGATCATGTTTGACACCCGTGGGTGTGGGTAATGTGGCTCTTATCTTATATCGTCGACAGGTTCTCAACCTGTTCTTGGCCCTGCTGCTGTCGAGTTTCGGAGCGTCGAATCTAAGCTCTCCGCAGACGGACCAGGACACGAACAAACTCGCCGAAGCGTTCGAGAGAATCAATAAAGGGATTGGCTTCATCAAAAGCAGCATTGCCAACTTCTTCAAAGCCCTTCGAGAGAAGATCACGAACCACATTTCCGCCGACCGTGCCGCAAGTGCGAACGAAATGTGCCTGTTTTACGACAGCCACGACGAGTTGTTTGTGCGTTCGATTTCCCAAACCCTTGACATGATTTTCCTTTTCAGACGCAGAGATGGAATCTGGAAGCGAAGATATCTTGCCGCACGGTCAGAAGGAAAGGGGCCACGTGGAAATTCCCATGGACGGCCTCGACGGCAAGGGTAACCACTAATTTTATTTTAGAAAATCCACACAAGCAAAGAAAATTTGGTTTATCGTTTCCGAAGTGGCGCTGAAGAATTTTACAGCAATAATTCCGAAGCATTCGTAAGAAGTATGGTTCAAAAATTGTGTCAGTTCAGCAAAATTTGGTCATCTGCTTCCGAGTCAGAATGCTCTGAACCGCAGGAATGTGATTATCCAGTAGTGTTTAAATAACGGCAAATGCTTCTTTTCACGATTGTCTTCCATATCTGACCAGCCATGTGCAAATTCTCGCTTATACGAATACACATTTTTAAATTGCCCATGCCACGTACTTTTTCGTTGGTTCATGGTCGTCAAATATTTCTAATTTACATATACAGTATTTTAGCGGTTCGGCTGCCGGAAACTTGATAAAACATGCAAAAGCACGTACACATTTTCTTCTGAGTGATGTGCTATGTCATCTCTGTCTTCTATTTTATGCAATCTTGGTAAGAAAAATTTCAACTTTCAAGAAATTATAAAAAATGCTTTGTAATTAATCAGTCTAACTCCGTTGATAAAAGAATAAAAAAGAAGGAATTCATGAACGCATACTTACGGAGAGTTGAGATTTGCGTATATGCTTGAGCTACGGAGACGACAGCGAACAGTTTTCTTTACTCGTATGATTATGAATGTTGACCGCTGGAAAAATTTCACGGTGATGTGTGAATTTGGCGAAAGACGCTGCGATTCATCGCTTCCTTTTTTTGAAAGTTTGTGTGGGGTGTTCTTTCTTTTGGAAAGATCCAGGTGTTACGAGAGTACCTCCGGAATTGAACAATAAGGTGGTGGCGAACTCCATCGGAAAGTCGGATGTCATCGATGAAACGAACATTCGGAAAGCGCTGCGGATGCAGGACATCGACGACAGTCTCAGCACGCGTTCTTTGGGCAGTCACAGGGACAAAAAGTACCAGCTCGCCAATGGGAAGAACAGCCTGAGGAACAGCCTGGACAGCATCGACGGCTCCGACGACGGCGACATAATGGACGAGCCTAGAAACGGTACAGAACATTATTCTCGCCGCTAATGAGCGCGCCCGGTCCTGACTGAAGTGCATTATTCGATCCTGCGTCCATTAGGAGATATTGAGGCGGAGGAACGCATGAACCGCAGTCTGGACGCAGGCACGGCGGACATCATCATCGGAGACACTCCTGCTGATTGCTGCTCCGAGGGCTGCTATCAACGATGTCCGATTTTGGCCGGCAACGACGAAACTCCTTTTTGGATCGGATGGAACCACTTGCGAACAAAGACCTATCGGCTCATCGAAAACAAATATTTTGAGACCATCGTGATCATTCTTATCCTGCTGTCATCGCTCGCATTGGTAATTCCATGCATCAGCTCTTCTATTTTTCTTCCTACCATCGCCGGAAGCATCGCGAAATGATGCCATTATAAAACGCTGCGCATTCACCTTTTATATCTAAATTAGCTCATTAATTCTTCTTGCGTATTACCATGCTAAATCTTCCACGAAGGAAGGCATGCATCAACAAATGCAGTCGCTGTAAAATTATACGCATGAACAACTGCTTTTAAGAACACTTTGTAAAATGCGGATGAATTCTCAAACAAATAAATCCAAGAACGCAAATATCCTGGGAGTTTCGGCGACGTGTGTCTCGAAAAAAGTGCTGCGACGAAAAATAAATCCTGGAATCATAAAAAAGATATTATCAGTATTTTTGAGGGGAAATCCTAGCATTATGGATTCACTAAATAGTCCAGCAAAAAAAAAATAGAAACTTCGATTTTTTTAAGGATGTTGCAATTTTTATCACACGCTCTGGAATTTGATGAATGTTATCTATTCACAGGCATTGGAAGATGTGTATCTCGTCAAGAGACCATTGCTGCAGGACATCCTGTACTACATGGACAGGATATTCACCGTGATCTTTTTCCTCGAAATGTTGATCAAATGGCTAGCACTAGGTTTCAATTCGTATTTTCATAATGCCTGGTGCTGGTTAGACTTCATCATCGTTATGGTGCGTACTCCGTGACATTCCTTTTTTTTTGTTTTTCTCGTGCGATGATGGCGGAAAATTTATTTTGCAGGTGTCACTGATCAATTTGACGGCTTCTTTAGTCGGTGCCGGAGGAATTCAAGCCTTCAAAACGATGCGGACATTGCGAGCTCTGCGTCCGCTGCGAGCTATGTCTCGAATGCAAGGAATGAGGGTTAGTAATCGATTCGCGATAAACCTGGATAATCGCATCATTTACAAGTATCATCTCGAAAGCGCTTCCTGGCGTCACTTAGCACCGGAAGCGTTAGCCCAGACGGTTGCCGGAAACTGATGAATAATGTCTCCTTCACTATAGGTCGTCGTGAATGCATTAGTGCAGGCCATTCCATCCATTTTCAACGTGCTACTCGTGTGCCTCATCTTCTGGCTTATTTTCGCCATCATGGGAGTGCAGATGTTCGCCGGGAAGTTTGCAAAGGTCAGGTTAACAGCTAATTCAGGGCGACCTTTCCCTTGGAGGCCATTTCTTTGATGTTTCGCGGGTTTCTCTGCATGTGCTTATCGTTCGAACGCAGTGCGTCGACGACGAGGGCGTTGTCATTGCGGCGGAGATCGTCAACAACTTTACGGAGTGTAGAGACAAAAACTTCACGTGGGTGAACGCCCCCATTAACTTTGACAACGTGCTGCAAGCTTACCTTGCACTGTTCCAAGTCGCTACTTTCAAGGGTTGGATGGATATCATGTACGCGGCCGTGGATTCACGAGGAGTAAGTGTCCGAGAAAACATTTCACATTCAAAAATCCAGAGCTGTTTCGAAAGTCTTGCGTATAATCCCACAAATCGGCATTGCCGTTTGATTTGACATAAATATCCCTTCTATATTTTTAAAGATAAATTCCTCTTTCATCCCTTTTTGAGAAACGTCAGGAACAAATGCCTTTGTGCATGATGAGGCTTTCCTACGGGATATTTAAATCAAGATGATTTTTATGGTATCTTTGGGCTCAAACCGAATGAAAAACCGCGTAAGAATTAGGAAAAAGCGTTCGAGTTTAAAGCATTACATCATAAACCCGCTGCTGAGTAGCTATGGAAAATATTGGTTCTGGATTATTGTGTCATTCATTTTTACAGTGAAGGGTATAAAAAAAACTTCTGACGGAAAAATGCGATTTCTGTAAGATCTTGGTTAAAAAAAGAAAGGTTGGAAAAATCGAAGAACCTTCCGTAAACAAAAACTTGTCGATAGCATAAACAATTTTCTAGGTTCTTCCTGACGATCCTCGTGGGATACAATTGGATTTCCGCGACCTGTATCTCAACTTACTCTTTTTTATCGATGCGGTTTTTTAACGGATGAAACATCTGGAAAAGTTGAATATCAGAATTTCACCCATCTCTTATAAGAATGTTTCGTGTGAAATCGCTGGACTTCTGAGAATCCCTCGTTTCACCGTGTTTACAAATTTGACTTCTCCCGCAGAATGAGATGCAGCCGTCGAGAGAGGTCAACATCTACATGTACTGGTACTTCGTGTTTTTCATAATATTTGGATCGTTTTTCACCTTGAACCTCTTCATCGGAGTGATCATCGACAACTTCAACGAACAGAAGAAGAAGATGAGTATTTACTCTTTTTTCAAGCACCGATTTATCACTTTCAAATAAACTCTGCTCTGCGGGAACACGAACCGTTTGCCGATTCTTGCGCTTTCAGATTACACGAGTGCAGTGTGATGCCATAGTTCACCGAATGTGCGATTCTGCACTAGGATATTTAAAAAAAAAAAAGTAATTTAGAAGCTTTGCTGAATGTATGACGCTGAGCCGGACTATTTTTTGGCCATAAAACGATTTTATTTTGAAGCGCATTTTTTCCTTGCCGAACGGCAAGTCAGCTGAAAATTCACCCGGACGTGTTTCAATTGAAGTCACCGGATTCATAGCAAAAGCAGCTTTGACCCCGACCCGTAAATTTTCCGCATCGGGCAGCTTTTATCTAACTAGATTTTTGTCTTCTTGGCTTTCTTTCGTCCCTTTGCCTTCGGCTATCGATTTTGTCTTGTGTCTGGTGTGGGCTGACTTCGGGCGTGTGCCGTGTTTATTTTTCTGCCGGACTTCACATGGGTGAGCGCTGTTATTTCGAGCTTTGATTTTTGATCTGCATGCCTTGATATTTTTCGAAATGCGCATGGATTCCTCATCATTTTTTCACTTCTAAATGAGATTTCAATGCAAAGCGACCGCGTTAGCGACGCATCTGACTAACTCAGACTTTCGTGGGAATTTCTCCTCGGTTGCACGCAGGAGGCTCATTGGAGATGTTCATGACAGAAGATCAGAAAAAATACTACGCAGCTATGAAGAAAATGGGCGGCAAAAAGCCCCTGAAGGCGATTCCAAGACCATCCGTGAGTTCACATTATTTTGAATGCTTCTCGTTGACAAAGTTTAGTATCATTCCTTGTTTTCTTATTAGTGGAGAATTCAGAACTGGGTGTTCGAACTCGTGTGTGACAAGAAATTCGACGTCTTCATCATGATCTTCATCGGACTCAACATGGTCGTTATGACTCTTGACCATTATCAGCAGTCAGACGAGTACGGAAGAGCTCTGGAAATGGTCAACACCGTCTTCATCATCGTTTTCTCCTCTGAATGCGTGCTCAAAATTTTCGCGCTGCGGTGGTTTTATTTCAAAGAACCCTGGAACTTGTTCGATTTCGTCGTAGTGATACTCTCCATTCTAGGTAAGTACGATTTTTCTTTCAATTTTCACCCGAAAAGAAAAACAGGTCTCATGAATTAGCATGATCATCATTTTTACTAAAAATGGAAAAGGGCGTTTTATGGGGTTAAATCTAAATATTCAGATGATAAGAGCATCAAACGCTTCGAATACAATTTTAAAATTTTCTGTTGACAGTTTTTAATATCGCAAGTACTGTTCTGGATTGCCGGTTTGGTTCTTCGAGATAATAAGACAGCTGGTGAGGTAATTCCAAAACAATGCGAGCTTTAGCGGCTAGATAAAATGTGAAAATTCTGGGGAAGTCGTAGAGTAAAATGTAGGGGTGGGTTTCGACGACAGGTTATTATTATTATTTTTTGGGACATGGCTTTTATTCAGGCTAATGCTTGAAAATACAGTAGAGCAGTTCTGAGCAGGACTTCCCGGGGTCGTAAATTATTTGGAAAACAGCGGAAATTCAACATATGGGAAATTGGTGGATTTTACTTCTGCTGTGAAGACTGCATTTTTTCAACAGCAAAAAATAATCCGCCTTTCCGCTTTTTTTTTCTTTCTTGAAAATTACAGTTTAGTGCTTCCGAAGTCAGGGTGTTGTCTCAATTCACGTAATTACGGTCTTCTTTGAGAGCTTCGTACGCATTTCTTTAAACTTTAAAAAAAATTCTGGAACGAGATCGAAGAAAGCAGCAGTGTTCAGACAGTACAGTACTGTACATGAAAATGGAAGTGCTGCAACCGCTGATGAATGAGCCATCATGAGTTATGCGTTGCTGAAGTGCACATATCAATCATTATTCTATTTTTGCACCTGTGTTTCGCTGGTTGCAGGGCTGGTGCTGAGCGATATCATCGAGAAATACTTCGTGTCGCCGACGTTGCTGCGAGTGGTGAGAGTTGCAAAAGTGGGACGCGTTCTCCGGCTGGTGAAGGGCGCAAAAGGAATTCGAACTTTGCTTTTTGCGCTCGCGATGTCGCTGCCGGCATTGTTCAACATTTGCCTCCTACTTTTCCTCGTGATCTTCATTTACGCCATCTTCGGAATGTCGTTTTTCATGAACGTGAAATCCGTGGGGGCACTGAACGCCGTTTTCAACTTCGAGACTTTCGGACAGTCCATGATCCTGCTGTTCCAGTGCATGACAAGTGCAGGCTGGGACTCAGTGCTGGCAGGGATCACAAACGAAGACGACTGCAAGCCGCCGGATCAGGAGACAGGATTCCCCGGTGACTGCGGCTCGTACCCCCAGGGGATAGCGTACATGTTGTCGTACCTCATGATCAGCTTCCTGATCGTCATCAACATGTACATCGCCGTCATCTTGGAGAACTACAGTCAGGCCACGGAAGACGTGCAGGAAGGACTGACGGACGACGACTACGACATGTACTACGAGATCTGGCAGCAATTCGACCCGAACGGGTCACAGTACATCTCCTACTCCGAGCTCTCCGACTTCCTCGACACGCTGGAGCCGCCGTTGCAGATCCACAAGCCCAACAAGTACAAGATCGTGTCCATGGACATCCCGATCTGCAAGGGCGATCTCGTGTACTGCGTCGACATCCTCGACGCACTCACCAAAGACTTCTTCGCTCGCAAGGGCAATCCGATCGAGGAGTCACCCGAGCTCGGCAACATCACTCCGCACGCGGACCGACCCGGCTACGACCCCATCTCGTCGACCCTGTGGCGCCAACGAGAAGAGCATTGCGTGCGAATGATACAAAGACTCTGGCGGCACAACCGCGTGCTCAAGCAGCAACGGCGCCTGCCCGCCCTCCCTGCGCCCCACGACGCCGGCGGCACCGCGCTCCCTCCGCCGCCGCAAGACACCGAGATCGTGCTCGACGGCGCCGGACAGAGCTCGACGGGACATAAAGTAGTCCTGCATTCGCGCTCGCCGAGCGTTTCCTCCCGCTCCACCGACGTCTGAGGCGGCGGTCCGACTTTTGTCCCGCGTGTTTTAACTTAGTCTCGGTCTCTTCCAACTGGGTCCGCTCGTTCCCTCCTACGCAGATTCGGACGGGGACATTACATACCGGCGTCCCGACGGCCGCGAAGCAAGGCGCTTTTTCGCTCGTGAAGCGGATTCTTATTTTTTCTCGAAGTTTCCTTCTAGAAAATCGGGGTTTATTGCGATTCCGCATTCCGTGAGCAATTTACTGTTCTTTTTCCTCGACTTTCAAGCTCTTTGACGTTCGCTTTTGCTGCGCACCACGACGCCCCATGACGCGAATTCACAACGGTCTGGCCACTGCGATAACGGAATTACTTCTTTTTGTCTCTGAAAAGGAAGCCTGGCTTCCGCCGGGCGCAGCGTTCGCTCGGTAATCGCACCAGGGATTTTTGTGTGTTATTGGCATGTTATTTGGCTGTTGTGAAGAAGAATGGAGTGTCGATGCAGACGACCCCTTTTTCGCGTGAGCCCGCGTGAGGATTCGGAGACGGGGAGAAAGAGATGATTGGATGGGCTTGAAGAAGAATCAGAGAGAGAGAGAGAGACAGACTCGTCTAAGAAAGATATAATTCACGACTTCGAATGCACAACTGCCACAACGAGGGGAGTAATTTGCAAGCCGAGAAATCTTCGGCATTCTGAATCTGTACAAAGGGGCCTTTCCACGTCGCGTTTTACGAAACAGAGCAAACCGAATTTTACGCGAAAAATTTTAATCTCTGATGAATTGTGGTTGCTATGGTTTGCTGAGCCCTATATTGTTTCTGGCATATTGCATATATCTATATTATATACGAATATTTAAATTCGTACGACTCCAGGTCGGGAGATGGACGCAACGAGAATTCCTTCATTTTCCAAGCGTTTGACGGGGATGCATTTGTTTTTACAGTGAAAGAAGCGAGATTTTATCGATTCATTGAACACCCGCATGTGATGATGCTTTCGTGATAGGCTGTGCCGCTCCCCCGTGATTGAGTGGTTTAATATGACTATTCGCGAACGAGAGAATTCTTGCGTAGTCCCGAGTCTGCCCTGTGTCGATCGAACTCAAGGTTTTCTTATTTTTTTGCTGCATTGCTTACTTGCAAATAATCACGTATTGTTGTCGGGTAAGCGATAAGAGTTTCGAGCACCTGCACCGGGCTTGCGGGAATGTTCAGGAACCAACAGTTTTGTGCCTGCTTGATGAGGGATCTGTTGATTGTTTAGCCTCCTCGTATTTTTCCGGTTGGAACCGCTCACCACTTTATTGGAGAATCAAACTCACTTCGGCGATTGCAAGGCATTAAGGAAGCATTGAGAAAGTTTGCGCATGCTCTTGAGCAATATTCAGTCCCTCTTGACAGTGCCGATGACGGGAAAATAATTGTATTTCGCTCGTCCGAGACGCGAGTTTTCTTCGATTTGCTCCTTTCGGAAAATCGTCCCTTCATTGATAATGGAGAAATGAGCACGACATTACTCCGACAATATTTGGGGAAGAAAGAAGTCAACACTATTTTTATACCACAGTTTTTGATTCACCGATCAGGCGAGAAAGAGAGGGAGAGAGAGAGAAATTCCTGCACGTTTTCTTTTTTTCTCTTGCGGTGGGGAAATTACGGCGTCGAAGCCATGGGATTCAACACAAACTCCGGACATATTTGATCTGTATGCATCAACCAGGTGCATGAAACGATCCATCAATTATTCACGACCGACCTTCCTGCAAAAAAAGCAAGAATTACCACTCATGTATGGGCTGTTTCTTTTGGTGCGTTGATGCTCGCTGCGAGTTGCTGAGAAAGCCCTTGATGGGTCTTCATTCCTCGTCTTTTTCCTCCAAGAGAGCGCGATGCTTCTTGATGACTGCGTTGAGAGTGTTGTTCATTGTTTCGAGATTTCTATGTCGATGTTCACGGTTCGGAAATGTTGGTTATCTCGCTGCTTTTTGGGATTTTCATTTCATTAACCGCCTCCTGGCGGGAACCGATACAAGTTCGGCTTTGTTGTTTTTTCGGAGAGTTACCGCGAATGCTCTGATTTTACCGCATTGGTTGCCCGGTGCGATGCAGTAAGCCCCCGTGACGGTGATCGAGGCCAGAAAAACCAAGCTGGATCTTGGAAACTCTCGCTAGTTCGATTTTGTTCTTTCAATAATGTTGCAAGTATGGTTGTGTTGTACATACGTGGTCCAGGTTAATCGTGCTTGCTTCACAATGAATCAGCCCCTTTTCCACAGTGCAATATTCAGAGGATCTCCTAAGATTCAGTCGTGAATTTCAGCTCTTGTTTATACCGGTTTCCCGACTTCCGCGATACCTGCATATTCTAACTCCATTATCTGAAGTTCTTCAAGACGCTTCATTGGCATTGGAAAACCTAAACTTCGCTTACCTCACTTCAAAACGCTTCTCAGAAGTTCAGTTTTATCTTCTGCTGTAGTTATTTTGTGTACAATAAGCTCATCGAACGAAGTCCGGTGAAAAGTTGGCGAAACATTTTTAGGGTTACCTCGCTGAACATGTTCTGGAATATCATTTCCATTAATTCGTGTTGAACTTGCCTAGGCACCTGAACGTAATTTTAACGTACGATATTCATCCAAATGTAGCCGATGTCCAAGTAGCCAGGAAAATATTTCATCGTTCAACCATAGGAAAAATATTCCTCGCTAACTGCACCCTGTAAAAGTTTACGAACAGTGGTTAGCCACTTTTTTCGGCGTCTCGGCTGTCATCAACCATTCCCGGAGAATCTCAATTCGAAATCATGCGCTCGCTACGCAGTACGTCACGTGTCACAAGGAAATTGTATGATGCATTTGGATCGAATGCGATTTGCTACATTCCGTCCTTTCTTGAGAATGGCTTGATGTCAAAAAAGAAAAGAAACCTGCGGGATTTTAATATTCAATTTCAATTGCTCGCCTATCGCCTCCTACGCATGAAGACACTGCTGTATATTTTCTTATAGCGCTATCAGAAGCGTCCTCGGTTGGAACTTTTCTCGCGCGTACCGGCGAAATGATGTCTGACTCTTTTTTCACCGTCAGAGTTTTAAATCTTCGGTGGGAATAAAGTGTTGTTGCTCAATGTCACTCAGCCCCTTGATCCTGCTGTTTCCGGAAACTTGCTTCTGTCAGACCGGACCTCGCGCGCTGTAGGGATGACCTTTTCCGTTCGCGTGGGCTTTCTGTTTTCTCTTCTTTTTTTTTTCAAATACGTTTCTGAAAGAAGGGGGTTTGGACTAACATGTCAATCTTCCGCCGCGTCGCGTTTGGGATCCTGAGCCAGTACGAGTCGGGGTTTGCGTGGATTGCATTTGTACTGGCCGGCGAAATACCGCGGGAACTTCGTCGCTGGCGAGAGACGCATTGCATCTCGTGGGGGCTGCCGATCAGCCCGTCTGATATGTGGGACATTTTTTCGGTCTAATTTGTTTCTCAAGCTTTGATTTTGACTCGGAGAAATAAAATGACAGAATTGCGAAGCCCTGGAAGTCATTTTAGAGCACCTGATAGCTGTATGTATTTGCCGGAACAGTCAGCAAGCGTCAAATAATCAGAGACAGACCATCAATTTTATTCCCAAAAACTTCACGAAACATGCAAGGGTATTCAACGAAACAGTGTCAGGAATATTTTTGGAATCCCGTTAAATGCATCAGCTCGTATAATTTGGGCATCGAAGGAAAATCTAGCTGCCTAAGTTGAAATTATAACTTTTCATGAAAAACGAGTGAGAGCTGAGCATTTCTTCAGAACTGGCATTCCACATTTAAGTAAAAATCAAGAAAGAATTTGAGGTTTACCGATGCCCCCGAAATTTCAGAAAATTTTGCTGTCAAGTCGTCGGCTCCAAGAGAATCACAGGGATTTGGTAATCGAATGCATGGTTCAATATTCAGCGTACTAGGTACCCCCCTGGATTGTAACTGATGTAGCAGCAATTATAGCCTGTAGAAAAAAATTGGGCATTATTGTGTGAATAGTTTTCGTAGCACCCAACAACGAGACCGTCAGTCGATCCGAGGAGAATCACGAGCTTCAGCAGCAACACCTGCTGTTTTCGTACGGTATGCCACTCGGGTGCTGACTTCGGCTCTTTCGGAGAATCTCAATCTGAGCGTATTATTTGTCATCTTATTTGTTGAACTTCCACCATTTTGATTCTCAAGTTCATTTTCCGAATAGTTCATGAAGTCCCTCGTTCAGTTTGAATCATCGCTATCGCATTGGTGCTCATTCCATCGCACTCTCTCCACATGGGATGCATTCCTCCACAAAATGGTTTTCAGTATTTTCGCCACTCGAAGCGTTTCCTTCTGCGATCTTTAGCTAGAGACATCCGAATAATGTTTTTCTCCAACATAGATCCGTTAATTGAGTCGAATCCTACGCTAAAAAATTAATTATTAAAATCTCATGCTGAGACGTCTTGCGTTTTCTATAATTTTCTCTGTCGCTTGACATGCCAAATTATCATCCAAATGAATAATATTGTACATGCGAATAACTGGATCTCCGTGATTTCAGCAGTAGGTTCCAACGAGAATCAGTAACCTAGTAATTACTGGACACTTACATCGGAGAGTGAAATCATGGCCACAGCCCAAAGCTTCGCTCTTACTGCTCCTGCGGTGGCCTGCAATACTTCCTTACAGCCGTGCATTTGTTCCCGCTAGTTCCTGGGGTACACCTGGTCGCAAGGCAATCTTCACCCCATTCTGAAGCACAGGGCCACTCACAGAATTGATGATACATCTGACATGTTTTTCAAAGAGTAGATTTTTACTCGCCCATGACCGGTATAACCATCATGTATTGTCCTTACACTTCCTGCGCATACAAGATCCAGAACTTGAAGGTGGCTTCTGCAATTGGAAGAATAGGGGTTGTGTAAGTCCATCTACTTCAGGCATAATCGTGTCTACGTCTGTCAGATACAGCCCTACAATCTGACATTGTACTTTCCTCGAAAGGTGCTGCTGAA